GTCTCTGTAAGAAAACAGAGACAGGTGTTTGGCATTGACAATTTAGTGTTCGGTTTGCTTCTTCCTTGTAAACAGATGCCTGCACAACTTGATGTGGGCAACAAGTACATATACTCAAGATACACAGCTGGAAATGCTCATCATTGTATACTGAATAAGTGGCCATTGAAAAGCTTGATATCTATATCTATATAAAAGCCAAATCCACTCACTCTTCATGAAATCTCCAGAAATGTAAACCCTACAAACTTGAAATTTGGCAGATATGTTCTTCTTGGCTTCTAGGTGCTCGCTAAAAAAGGATTTTTCAAAATGACCATCAGATCATTAGTACAGCAATTAACACGCTCTGATTCTAAGGAGTTGTACTCCCCCTCCCCACCTGAAAAGAACTCTGTTCCAACTGCTGGTTTCCTCACATTCCGTTTCCTCAGTTCAAACTGACAGACATTCCTTCACTCAGCAGTCTGGGGCTCCTTACAGAACTAAACATTGGCACCTCACCAAAATGTCTATGCCTTCCACCTATGGAACTGCTTCCAGAGTCAAGGTGGCTAGAGTGCAATTCCCTTATGTGTTGCAATCACCGACCACCACTGAGCCAACAGATTGAACCGGAGTGAACCAGATTTCTCCTGCATTTCCCAATCACATAGTTTTGTTGCGAAGCATGGGTATCTAGCTAGTATGTATATAGAATAGAATAGCACATATTCTGGTAAAGACAAGTTTTTTGAGGAGATAGATAATAGATGGATGGATGGGTGTGTGTGTGTTAATATTGGAAAGTTTTATCCCCCCATATATTGTTATGTTGATGCTATAGAGCCTCAAAAATTATACTGCATGTATTTATGTTAATAATCCTTTCCTTGTTTGAACTGCATCTGCATGCAATTATTGCTATTGTGTATAAACAGCAGAAATTGAAAGAGCCATCATCCATGATGTTGGCAGTACTACCAATAACACAGGGCCAGCTTGTGGAGGATGGTGGGACTGCCAAAAGTGATAAACAAAATGCCAAATCTATGTATAGAATCTAACCAAAAATGCTGTTAATGAGGTAACAACGTCCGTTCAATTTTACAGTAGCGACAAGATTAGCGAGGAAAAGGAGATACTGTCCTACAACATCTGCAATGTGAACTAATTACCTCACTCAACCCAAGCATAGTAACAAAAAATGATATTGCAGCATACATGTAGACTATGCATAAGTTAAAAAGAATCATAGATTTTCAACCCACAAATAATACTTTAACTCAGGTTTGAAAAGAGATTAAAATTTATAAATAGGGAAATATAGGGAACATCTTCAGTTTTCCTCTAGGCCAGGAATTCCCAAAGCCTACGGTTCTGCAAAAGCATGATAGGATTATGTAAGAAAATTGGAGGTGTGTGTCAAAAGTAGCCAATATTCTCTTGCTGCTTTTAAATAGTTTCTGCAGCCTAGAATCCAATTTGATTATATATGAAAATGTATCATGCAACATTTCTTATTTTACTGAATCTGTAATACCAATAGTCTTTGCTTAACAACAATAATGGGAACCAGCAGTTCTGTTTCTAAGAAGCATGGTCATAAAGTGTGCCATTACATATTTACTATCACAACAGTTCCAGTTGTAGTCTTTACTGTAAGTAAATCCTGTTTAGATCTTAAGCATGTCACGGGGTCACCATTTGCTGACTTCCCACTGACTTTGCTTGTTGACAGCCGGCAATGAAGACGGCAAATCTAGTGGTTAAAGTGCTGGCATAGAAACCAGAAGACTGTGAGTTCTAGTCCCAACTGAGCATGAAAGTCCGCTGGGTGACTTTGAGCAAGTCAGTCTCTCTCCGTCCATGTACCTCACAGGGTTGTAGTTGTTGTGGCCACTGTGAAAAGAGACTACTATACTATACTATACTACTATGAGCTGTACAGTATGTTACATGTTTGTTAAGTTTTTGTTAAGCAGAGGAAGGCACTAAAATTCAGGAAAGCATTTCCTAAACTGATGTTACTTCCAGCCAGTTTGCACACAGGAGTTAAGCATTTGTGGGATACAGTGCAGATAAGCCCATAAATAACACTGTATTTTAAGTACTAAAATTGCTTAGGATATGACCTCTATTTAATACTTTTAAAAAACTGCAAAAATTTTAATAGGTTGCAGAAGGAAATTCATTTGACTGTGTCCAAATAAGTTGTTTGACTACGCCTAATAATTATTTTCTCTCCCCATCCCTAGTTTGTAATTTATCAACAGGTTTTTACTTTGTATGCTCTTTTTTTTTTTTTTAACCATTTTGCCAACCAATGTTATGGAAACATTTCATGGGTTCTACCTTAACAAAATATGCACCCTGATTTTTTAAAAATGTTTTTACCCCCGACATCTGTGGATAGTTTCTGAAAATTACAAAACCTTTGTGTATAATCCCACAGCCGGACCTACACATTAGAAAAACTCAACTAGTATTTGTTTGCTGCTAATTACTCCATGTAAACCTGTGGGAACTGATTCTCTATTAATGAATTTGAGCAAGCAGTTAGAAATCTTTGCATAATTTTTAAGAAATTATCTGCTTAGTTGTTTTGATTCTCCACCCCCTATTAGGTCTTCTTGTCCCTATGCAGTCACAGTACCACTGGTGTGAATTTATTCATCATTAATTAGGGAGAAAAACAGGCTAAGAAATAAGAAATTTTATTTGGCACTACTCGCTAATGGAGACAGCTGTGTAATTTGGCACCAGTGGGATATTAAATATGACATAATGATAGCATTTCTATCATGACATTATATATCTGTCATAACTTTTGTCAGCTAAGTTTTTTTCAAGATTTGAAATCTTTAACATGAATTTTCAGTGGGTATTTTTTTTAAAATGTCCAGAAGTCCCATTGCAACCAGTCATCTTTTTCTAAATACCTCCCTCTGACTGATATCTTGTTAGGCAACAGCTTTACTAAATTACATGACAACAATAGCTTAGCAGAAGAAAATTTCTGGCACGTTTTGTGAGGTGCATTTTACCATATAGTAAATCAGAAAAAATTGATGCAAACATTCTGAAATGTAATACCATGTTAAGTACGGTGAGTCACATATACTCATATATTGTTTAGTTTATGCTTTCAGTTAGATATAAATAAACTGAGTTGGACTCAGCTATACTAATGGTTGGAATATATCCATAAGTCAGTGAGGGATATATATGAGTACTTTTATGTCATGTCAATCTAGCTGTTCTAAGTGGAGTATGATCCATTGATTTCAGTGGATGTACTCTAAGCAAGGTTAAGTTTGGATTCAGTTCATTATTTAAAGTTTCAGATTTAATTGAATACATGTGGGGAAACGTGTATTCAAAAAAGCAGAGATTTATATGGGAGAGATGGACATTAAAGGTAGAGTTCTACCATTAACTTTCTGTAGATGCGGTCAGATCGGACTTTTATTGCAGTTTCCCAAGCTCACCAATGAATGTTGCATAATGCTTCTATAATTTTTTTCTTAGACAAAAATTATTTAAAAACCATATTCATTTTCAATGCTTTTTCATTGAAATTGCATGAAATTCTTTGCCTTGAGATACTCTGAATTCTTTATGTTGTTGTACGTCTATGTGTGTGTGTATGTGTATGTATATATGTGTATGTATGTATATTACTTATTTACTTACAGACTGTCTTGCTTTTTTGCATACTTATTTATTTATCAAATTTATTTACCATCCATCTTGGGGTTTAGGTGACTCTGAACAGCTTACATCAGGATAAACAATGCCTAATGATTATAAATATAAAAGTGAATTAAAATGATAAAAATTAAAACAAGATAAAATACAGGGGATTGGAAGGGAGAGATGGAAACCCTCCTCTATTAGTGTATCAACCATCCCCAGCCAAGAGCTTCTCTTTCAGAACCCCATGCCAGCCAGCATAGCCAAAACTTTCCTGAAGGCTGAAAAGAGGGGGCAGATCTTACCTCCTGTGGCAAGATGTTCCAGAGGGCAGAAGCCATGGCAGAAAATGTCCTGGATTCCACAGCCAAAAATCCTTAGCTCAAGGAATCTGCCAAGTAGGTCTCTTCTGCCAGCAGGAAAGGGGTGGGCCAATCCCACTGGGAAAAAAATGATTTAAAGATTGGTTTTTAAGATATCCCTTTTAAAGATGTCATAAAGTGTTTTAAAGATTAAAACCCAACACTTTGAATTGCATCTAAAATCAGATCACAGTCACCACAGGTTGTATAATATTGGTGTTACATGGACTGAAGGCTAAAAGAGACTCTAAAACAGCTGCCACACTTAATTGTTTGATTGTTAGATTGCATTGTTTGAAAAAGTTTGTAAACTTTCTTATCTCAGTGTGATATAAAATGTCACACCAATTAGAGATTAAGATAAAAGTACCAGTCATCAGATCATCTTCAGCCAATCTTTCTATTTGCTCTTACGAGCTAGAAGTCACTTAACAATTGAGAGAATGTACCATTGGAATATCTGTGATTTTACTAAAGTGATATAAGATCCTTTTATTTAAATAAAATAACATGGGAATATTGGTTTTGTACTGATAATTAATTCATCTTATTTTGATAAAATTGTGTCCTATATCACTTTAAAAAGATAGTTTATATTTTCACAATATTTAAAAGCCATAGTATATTTATTCTCAGTGTCAGGATGAATTACACATATTAATTGTGCACAGCCTTTGACTATGAGCTGTACAGTATGTAGTATTTGTTAGTGTCTCTCAAAGAGAGTTCAGTATTGCCTTCCACCTTTTAACAAATGATAACTGCAAAGGACATGAATATGAATGAACAATGGAAATGCGAAGAAATATTTTAAGCAAATTGCTTATAACTAATGTGAAACAGGCTGCATGAAAAATGTTACAGGTAGCTCAGAACTCCATTTATGGCGTTAAAATTTCAGCATATCAAAGTATATTTTTACTTAGATCTACATTACTGAATAGCTTTATTTCCAAAGCGAATATGGCTCAGGTAACTGTTCAGACTTACGTTACTGATCCATATCTGTTTGTGATTCTGTTCCCTTTACCTCCCACGTGAGTTGTACCTTTCTAGTGCAAATAAGCTGCCACTACTACCTCTGCTTGATCTCTGTGCTACAGATGTCTCTAATTAACTTTACTGTGACAGGCCACAGGATACAGTTACATAGGCTGACAGATCCCAGTATCCTTGGAGGCACTACCCTGTCACCTGACACATTCCTTGTGCTAACATCTTTTTGGCAAGCTCTTTTTAATGATTAAATCCATCTTGTACCTGAGTTTAATATGAGAAGTGGGGAGTGATAGCCACTAAAAGATAACAAAGAATTTATAGTTAGAAAGCAATTACAGTATCAGCTTTGATTCAGTAATGTAAGAAACGCGCTATTAGGTTCCTTTTGAAAAATTCTTATACAGCCACGCAGAAAAAAACAAAACAGCTTTTGAAATAATATTTTGGAATATTATTTTAAACAGCCCATAACATATTTGCAAAACTAAATACTGGAATATGTAGCCTTGATGAATAATTGTAGTTGACCTCCATGACTTCAAGTGGGAAGAACAAAACCTTGAGTTTATTTCTAAAGAACTAAATCTGTATATCAACTGTGACTGTTCGGTTTGAATGCTTAAGTCATGAAAGAAGGTGAAATTAATCAAGTTTTCATTGTATGTGATTTTTAAAGAGACAAATATCCTGGCAGGCTCTGAGTTTGGCAATGATTTTAGCAGTTTGATGGTACCTTAAACATTTAAAATTTAATTCACCTAGGAATTAAAACAAAGGTACTTATATAACTAGGCAGATGTAAAAAGTAAATAGAAACAGCAAAACCAAAGATGTTCAGAATGGATTAATAATTCTGGCAATTGAAATGGGTATGCAGGATTAGAGGGTGGCCTCCTCTGAAAGGCCTTTGGCATTTTAAATAAACAGCTGCAGAATTAAATTGATATGTGCACACATTGGACAAAAAAAACCAGATGATTTGTGAAGTAGAACTTATTTCATAATATGACCTGGCATGTCAGTTCAGAAGGGGAATGGAGTATGGGTATCATGTTCTTGTGGCAAATCACTTCAGTTGTGGCACTGTTAATCTCCCTTTACAAGGATGAAGTTCAAATTATAAGCCACTCCATTAGTAAACTAATTGAGACATAGAGTACATAGCTCCTAACCCTGCCCATATCAGTCTGTAACACCCAATGATATATGGAGTTGGGGTAATGAAGTAATGACAGGCAGCTTAAATAAGTGTGGCACAGTTATAAAAATGCATACTTGGATGATCTGGAATACAAAGTAAGAGGCAGTTTCTCTCTCATGATGCCTGTGGGAAAACCAGCTAGTAGTATTCTATATAGAGTTATTTGGAAGGTGATATGAATATTACTGTATAAAAAGTACCTAGCTCATTGCTTGTCTATCCAGAAAAAGATTCCTGGATCAGTTGCTACCACATTTATTTGCTTCCTCCAAAGAATACAAATTTTATTAATGGTTTCTGAGATTATTAGCATTTGTCTAATTCAAGTGGAATTCCTGGCTACTTTAAAAGAAGAGCCATATTTGAATCTATCTGATTTTGACAACAATGGATAGGTGTTTTATATTTCACTGTTAGCCAAGTTACAGAAAGTAATGGTGCTTTTGTCATATATTGTTTTTTCAGGTGGAAAGCCATCTTCATCTTAATGGTGATTATAATAGGAGAGATAATAGGAATGAAATCATGAATTTAGCAGTCTGTGATACCACTGACCACAGTGGATTGTTTGATGAAGTTCAGGTTCAGAGACGTTGTTTCATATGATTTTGCTGCTACCACTTTATGAAAAGTAGCTAGAAAAGTATCTATTCAGCATTTGGGAATAATTCTCAGGGGAAATTTTTTTAAAACTTCCACATTGTTTCTTGGGTTGTTTAATATTTTCCTGAAACAACAGACCAGTATTGTATGTGGGTTTTGAGTTGTTACTAGCATGTTTATGTTACATGGATATACTTTTCATTTATTGAAAACTTGGGTGTGGACAACTTGAGAATTTTCTCTTGTTTCCAGATCATACAGAATTGGATGTGGAAAAAACAAAGTGAATGCCAGAGCCAGCTTTGACTCTGGAGGTTGCTTCAGATAAACATGCGGAACTGCTGCCTCAAGGAATAGCAGGGAGACACTGGGGCTTTTTTCGCTGCAGAGCATTTTGGGCAACTGGAAGCAGCACAGAATGAGGTGCTCAGTTTGGAACTTCCTTCTAGCCCGTAAGGCACAGAGGGCTGAGTGATGGGCAGAACAGAAGGCTTATCAGTTTATCACAAGGCAAGGCTATTCCAGCCAGTGATTGCTTGCATGTGGTGGAGTCTCAACTTTAAAGCCACTACTAGCAAGCAATCCCTTATTGAAAACAACCAGTCTCCTTGCTGGATACATAACCTGTTTGTATCCTGAACTTTTACCTGTGAAAAACCGTTCTTTTAAATCCAGACCAGCTGACAGCATTCCCACAACTCTAAGACCTTTGGACAATGCCTTGATGACATCTCTGCTTTATGCTTTGGTTATTGCAGTTCCTTTGGGGCAAGTTTCAAGGGTTGAAATTGCTCCAAACTGCATACTTTAAATAGTTAAATGCTATGCCTTCTATTGCTTTTAATTTTACAAACCCAGTTGTAAGGTACAGGACACTGAAACAGAATTCAGAGAAGTCAGATTTGTTGCTGATTCTAGAGTAGGGACTTCAAAATTTGGGTGATATGAATGCTTTGGGTGGAGCCACTTCATCTCTGTATTCTCTGGTATTTTGCAGTGGTGCTGAACATCTAGTCACTCTTTATGTATTAACCTTTGAAAATTGTCCTGAAATTATGGTAGAATGTGCAAGGCAAACTATAAGAAGCATCTCTTGGAAATTTCATTTTCCACAATCTGTGAAATAGCTTTGGTGGTTGCTACTTTGACCTCCCTTCAAAGTTCTCACTTGGCATATGAAGCATTACAATATATGACTTAGGTCCAATTTACCTGTAGTTTCACTTAAGTCTCTGCAATCTCTCCTGCAAGGTTTTAGAAGGAACATTTTGCAGGCTCTGCCATAGATAGATCCAACATTGAAAATAAAGCCTTCTTTTTCATTATGGGGCTGGGCTGTTATGTTGTGGAAACAGACACTTATTTTTACATTTAAGGAGGGGACTCAATAAATTTGTATTTACTAAGATCCTTTTGTTTGTGTTTAAAATCTATCAATTTAGGTTACTTTCAGGAATGCTTTTATTTTATATGTCTAAACTGCACAAATCTGTTAATAAAGTGGAGGCATATAACTTTTCTACATAAATAAGGTATAAAAGATTCATTAGCCATTAAGCAACAGTGCCTAGATAGATTTCCTGAAGTTATTTGCCCTGCAGAAATTATTTCCCTGTGGAAAAGACATCTTTCTTCTTAAAAAGAAGAGACCGTTTGTTTAAACTTACTTTTCTAAAGTAAAAGCCTTCCTAAAACAGACCAAAAGTTATATTAATGTTTGACAAAAAAGTCCAGACTGAATATACAATTTGTCATATTTGATTTATTCTAATTAAGTAATTACTATCTTTAGATTTAAAAGTTGTTTTAAGACTGTTAGTTGCATTTTTAACAGGCACAGTCATTTTATTCAGAGGATATATAATTATTTCAAAGGCTATGCAATGCTCAATCTAAGATAATTACATCCATGTAAATTCACCTTTACAGAAATCTAAATTAAGTATGTTTAATTATTGGTCCTTAGGACCTATTCAACATACCTCCCACAAGCTTTCAAACCACAATTTATCTAATTATCTGGTGGGAGGGGGAAAAAAACCTGGTGGATGATTCACAGATATCCTGATCTTTATTTTACAATGGAAATGTTTAAATAAATAAATATAATTAGATAAAATGAATATATTTATACTTCAAAATGCGAACAGACTGTTATTGTAAGGTTTACCTTATTAAACCATAAAGTTAGAAAAAATGGTTATCCACACTTTAAAATGTTTGCAATGTTCCTTATAATGATCTTCTGTTCCTTTCTGAGATTTAGGGATATTTTTTTCTTCATTAGGGGCAAGGCCCAGTGGTGGGTTGCAGGTATTGCGCCCGGTACGCGCATACTGTAGCTAGCCTGGAGCACCAGATACCGTTCCGGTACAGTGCTCTGGAAGGCCCACCCACCCGCCCAAGCTCCATACCAGTGTTTAAAGGCTTCTGCACTTCCGCGCAGGCACATGGCGTGTGTGTACACGTGCACTGCACACGCCCATGAATATGCCGCCGGTCCCATTCCAACCGTACCGGTTGGAACAGGATTTGAAGCCCACCACTGGCAAAGACCTATTGACTGCAGTGTTACAGGATTTGATTATCCAATATCACTGGATTAAAATATCCAGCATTCCTCACCACAAGAGTGCTAAAGTTGCAGTTCAGTAGCTGGTCATAGATTTCCTACTTGTGTTGTAATGCCAAATAGCCACAAAATGGCAAGATCTATCGTTAAAACGTTTTTCAATTCTGAGTTTTCAGATATTACATCACATCTTTAAATGATAGCATAATTCCTGGTAAAATGAGTATGGTTTATACTAAACCAGGGATCTGCAACCTTAAACACTCAAAGAGCCATTTGGACCCATTTTCCACAGAAAACAAAACCCAGGGAGGCACAAAACCTGGGTCGGCATGGCCAACTTGATATCACTCACTCCCACTGAGTCACATGACCCCCAGCCACGCTTACCCAGGTTTGGTGGCTCTCTAGGTTTCTTTTCTATGGGAAACAGGTATCTCTCTCTCCCCCTTTCTTTCTCTTCCCCTCTCCCCATCTCTTTCTCTTTCACCCTCTCCCATCCTCTCTCATCTCTTCCTCCCTCCCTCTCTCCATCTCTTTCTCCCTCCCTTTCCCTATCTCTTTCTCCCTCCCTCTCCCCATCTCTCCCTCCCTATCTCCCTCCCCCACCCTCTCTCTCCCATTGCTCTTTCTCCCTCCCTCTCCTCTTTCCCTTTCTCTCCCCCTCTCTCTCTCACATCTCTCTCTCTCCCTATCTCCCTATCTCGCCCTCTCTCCCCCTCTCTCTGTGTATCAATGTGTGTGTTTGTCTGTCTCTCACGTGCGGGTAAGGCGGCCAACCGTTCACTCGCTTAACACTCTTGTTTTACCAGAATGCAAAAGGATGCAGCTTCTCTCTTTCACTAAGGGTCCAGCCATCACCTTGCCATGTCATTCCTTCCACCCCAGCTCTTTGGCCGAGCACAGAGGACATGAGCTCCAGTCTGAAGTGGCAGGAAGCTAAGGCTGTCTTACATGTGAAAGTGGCATGAAGGGAGGTACAGGGCTGCTACACTCCTGAACTAAGGCTCTGGCCAATGCTTTGTCTTTGCCCCCCCCCCTCGCACAAGAGGGAAAAGAGGGTCACTGGAGCCTTAGTGAGGAGCAAAGTGGCCCTGTACCTGCCTTCATGCCACATTTGCATGTAAGACAGCCTTTGCTTCCTGCCGCTTCAGGCTGGAGCTTGTGTCCTCTGTGCTTGACCTAAGAGCTGGGGTGGGAGAAATGACATTGCAAGGCGATGGCTGGAGCCTTAGTGCAAGAGATAAGCTGCATCCTTTTGCATCTGGTTAAGACCCTCCTTAAGCAAGTGGCCAGCTGTCCCACATGTTCCTTGGTGTGTGCTTGAGGAGGGTCTAACTTCCCGTGCATTCCCTGCTTCTACCACAGCCGGCCACAGGGTCGCGAGATGAGGAGGAGGAGAGGAGGGTCGCCCAAAGGGTGATCATTCCCCAATCCAGATTTCCAAAAAGAAGAAATAAAAGTAGCAAAGCACCTGAAGGGGAACACCAACATTGTGTCTGGAATGTTGGCTGACAGATAAGTGTTGAGGGAGCTGCAGCAGAGGACCCAAAGAGCCACATGCTACTTTAGAGCCATGGGTTGTTGACACCCATACTAAACCTTTAGATTTGCTTTTCATCAATTGCAGTTAATACATCAATAGGTTTTGATGACAGATCAGGAAAGCTGCATGTATGAAGTTTTTGATGTACCCTATTTCCATGAATGAAAAAGAAACTGTCCTTGTGCATACTGCTTACATTTGGAAAAAATACCTTACTGTGTTTAAGATTTGACTTGAAATTATGATAGTCTGTGTTTCAAAACTACTTCTGTAATTGTTGACATTGCCTTGTGGAGTCCAGTTAATGGATATTGGTAATCCTAGTTGGTCTTCAGTTACCGCTAGACAAGCCAGACAATATCACAGTCCAGTGATTAAGGAAATTATTATTAACAAAGAATAGGCTTTTACAGACCTGGGCTTGTAATCAGAGTTGTGGAACATACCTAATGAATTTAAGATTGAGGATGTAATTTTCTTAGAGCTATCACTTGAGAATCAGAGTAATTATTTCCTATTGCTCTTTGTGGAATATACTTATAATTGCATTAGGGTAGGAATGTTCACATAAACATTTAATTGTTCACTTCATCCTAATTTTGAAAATATCACCTATTTATATTTCATTGTCAGAAATGATTGGGTTTTTAAAAAAGAGAACATGGTTGTATCTGGAAAGCATCATGGGGGGTGGGATCACATATCCTCTAGAGAAGTCTTGAAACATGAACTCTTATGATAAACGTCTATTACTTGGAAATATAATTGTACCTAATTTTTAAAAAAAATATATAGATTTTTTTTGTTTTATAAAATACATTGTTTTTGAGAAAAAGTTAAAAGAATACCAAAACAGTATGA